TTCGTAAAATGCTGTGATGGAGAGATGAATACTTTGCTATTTGGATACAATTTTTTTATTTAGCGACTGATAAAATTTGTTGCCCGCTGTCTTTCTATATTTTCAAAACCAAACTTTTCTCCCTACTGCGCATAATCTTAAAAATTGGGCTATATCACTTTTTTGGACTTTTGCTTCATTAGAGATTCTCGAGCATAATTCACACACCAGTCCTCACTGAAGTGCTTTTCCAGAGGCGCCAAAAGTCAGATAAAATTCTGTTGGCTGCATTTACAGAGGCCTCAAAAGCGACCAAACTTATATTTTACTAGTTGGCGAACCCGGCTCCGCCCGGGCCTGTCAATAATATATTTGTAATCAGCACGCTCGATTACCCCCCTTTGCCAATCCCCAGCCCTGCAGCTCAAATTTTGCAAAAAATCGATAAAATCGATATCGATCGATGACGAAAAGTGGCCTATGACACCCGCCGGGGCCCGAAGTGTATGTGTGCCAAGTTTGGTCCGGATCGGTTCAGAAATGGAATTTTCTATTCGGAACATACGTACAGACACACACACAGACACACAAACAGACATTCAGCTTTATATATAAGATATTAGCCATCGTAATGGAAAAAAATGTGCACGTAATATATTCCATGCACTAAGCTCAATAAGTAAATTTTCTAGTGAAGTGCGTGGGTCAGCCAGGCACTCCGAAAACTTTTTTGGTATGCCTTCTAAAATGCGTGCTTATAACCCCGATTCAGAAGAAGGGGGGGGGAGCGAAAAAAATTTTTATAGGGCTGAAATGAATTTTTAAAAAGTTCTAAAATATATTTTAATTATTTAACAAACAAGTCGTTTGCAGAATTAATTTTACATCTCATGTAAGTAACTTTCAAAAACTTCGCGACCCTTCTCGGGGAGGGGGGAGGGGGAATGTTCCCGGGTAGGCGCCACTGTCATCCAAGTATCCCGAGTATATTAAAGTTAAACGGCAGAAATCTCCTTCAATCAAAATTGGTTCCCTCCCCCCCCCCCCCTATCCCTCTCCTCTTCCTCAAAAATTGAGTCACGCCAGTTGAACAGCTTACAACTTCGTAAAAAAGTAGGCCGTGAGATCAGAAGGTGTAAAGACCTTCTTACAGCGGCAGGAAGGCTCTAATTAAGGATAACGCTATCATCAACAGTAAGAAGCAGTACTTCTGTGCAAATAGGCGATCTTGGAAAGACAAACTTTCTCTATCCATACTATTAACCTTCACATGATATCATGTAAGAAAATGAGTCTGTAACATGGCAGAGGACGCAACTTGGGAGTAATTTACTTGACGTTATTTCGAGCCATCGACTCCTGACGGCTGTCAAGTTCACCCAGTATGAGATCAGCAAGAAATTGCATCTTCTAGCTGAGATCACTATCTCTCATGATCCAATGCATGTACAAAAGTAAGATGCAGATGCACTCCCGTGGCTTATTTAGCACAAATCTGAGCATATCGGAGCATTAGGACTGCGTGGATTGTCTGAATTGAAGTAATCCAAGAGGTAAACGCTTGATTTATCTGGAGCTCGAAATTCATAAATTTAAATGTATCTTCGAAATAAACAAAGTTGTGTATATATCGATCGCTTGCATTTACCGCTGTTATCATCTTTAACACACTGACGACCTCGCGAATTTTTGATATCTGCCTCTTGGGATCAAGACAGGGCTCGGCACGAGTTGGCACCAGGGAAGTTTCAAAACGAAGTCCCGTTTGATCTTGAAAATTGCGTACGTAGTCTCCTTTGACCTGTTTTGAAGACCCGTCATCATTTTTAGATCATGTAAAAGTATGTAATAGGGTTTTCATACATGCTGGTTTCATGGAACAACTTTTCACAGCTTTCTGAGCTTTTTAAGTGGTCGAATCACATCTAGAGAAGCAGAAAAAATCGATTTTTTGGCTGCGGAGCAGGCCGAGTATTTTTCAGATGGCTATAAAACGCTGAAAAGAAAACATTATGAAATTGTTTGTTCTCTGTATGTAAACTTTTACAGTGTAGATACATTTTATGTAAAAAAGTATGAAAACTTATGTGAGCAACGTGTCGGTGTCAGCTCGGCTGGCACCCAGCTGGCACGGTGCCAGCTAATTCAGAAAAAAGTTCGGCAGAGCTTTCATTCACACAAGTTTTCGTAAATTTTTGGGCCATAGTTCGGGTCCACCAACGCGCATGCACACACCAAATTTGGTGTCAAACTATTGCGTTTTGGCAGAAAACAACGCTTTGTTTGTTGATGGATAGCATGCCGGTGACATATCGGTGGCATGCCGGCGGCATTCTTGCGGCACTTCTCCACCCAGGACTTCGGAAAAACGAAACCCCTTTGCTTTCACCCCTAAAAACAATATCCAGCTTGACCCGGTGCCAGCTGTGCCGAGCCCTGGACCAAGACCTTCTACGGGCCAGTGAACATTTTTCAGATAAAATCGCGCATACTGCCATCTACAATATACTTACAGTAGCTGTGAAGGGCTGACAAAAGAGATAGAAGTCACTTCTAGATTTAGAGCAAAAGAAAACTTCTGGAGTGAGTTTGTGCCAAAATATTCATTATTTCAACAAAGTTCAAGCCTTGACACACCATGTGTGTGAAGCTCTGACCACCACGTGGACCCGCTCAAACTAAACCAAACGGCGAGAATATAAAGTGTTGTTTACGTGAGTATACCAGGAATGATATCCACGAAAGTCCCCGCGAAATGGGCTTTTTGTGCGAATAAAATGGACTTGGTCCATGCGGTGCGATAAGATATGGCATTCGCGAATCCATTCATTCCATAGGCTTTGGCCATACTTTGCCCGTGTTGCCGGTGTTGAAAGTGTTGCCGGTGTTGAAAGTGTTGAAAGTGTTACCGGTGTTGAAAGTGTTGAAAGTGTTGCCAGTGTTGAAAGTGTTGAAAGTGTTGCCGGTGTTGAAAGTGTTGAACGGAGATCATCAGTCTAGCAGTTTTATTCTTTCTCGAACGATCTCACCGGCTGGTGAATACGTTGGAAATGGAGTTGGGGAATGAGAAATGAAACTTAAATGAGATGTGGAATGTTTTCGCATGCAAAAGATCCTCAAACAAACTTTTTGGAAAGTGAACGGCTTGTCTGGAATAGGCAATCTCCAATATTTGAGAAAGCTGACGTCTGAGTAGTAATGTGTTTTAGTTCGAATCCTGCCGCGTTTGCGATTAGTGAGTAAGGGACCTAAGCGAGGTCCGCAGCGTTTTCAAATATTGGACATTGCCTATTCCAGACAAGCCGTCCACTTTTCAAAAAGTTTGTTTGAGGATCTTTTGCATGCGAAAACATTTCCCATCTCATTTTAGTTTCATTTCTCATTCCCCAATTCCATTCCCAACGTATTCACAGCCAGTGAGATCGTTCGAGAAAGAATGAAACTGCTAGACTGATGATCTCCGTTCAACACTTTCAACACCGGCAACACTTTCAACACTTTCAACACTTTCAACACTTTCAACACCGGCAACACTTTCAACACCGGCAACACGGGCAAAGTATGGCCAAAGCCATACAAAACTTCTTCAGCAAACCATTCTCCAACTTGCCTCAACCTGTTTACTCACTCTTGCAAACTCATTTCCACCAAGTGGTTGATACCTGACTAGGCTGATTTAACATTACAACGTAGATAATATATTCTTTCACACTTCCTTACACCTAATAAAATCCCATTTAGTAACGATGACTATGCATCTAAATTACTTCCCAAACTGAAATTCATGCTATATCCGAGTTCGCTGGTCAAATTCGTATGTAGAGCTTTCTGCAGAAAGCAATCTTCGGCTAGATCTGCACAATCTGTGAATCAAAATGCTTATCTCATAGGAAACCTTGTACTACACAACAACCTATTGAGTTTTTCACTTAGAAAAAATTGCGAATCTGCAAAAGATAACTTCGCAAATGCTCTACTTTAGCTCTTCTTTGTCTTTCAACACTAGTATTTATATCTCTAAGTAGCTGCATGTAAGGACTATTGCTAGTAATAAATTTTTCACTAAATTATTCTTGCTAGCTAGCGGCACTTCAGTAATTCTTGCGACCAAACTCAAAATCGGGTCTGAAATGCCGTCTTTGAGGTTTGGTTCTACGAGATTAGTCAAAAGATATCTTCTGGATAATTATATTAAAACGTAGATCTTTTTCATTTTTTAATACAAATCATGAATTTAGTTTTAGTTGATGTTTTGAAAAGTTAAGAAAACCTTATTTGATTTACATAGGAATTTTCGCATCGACCTGATATATGGAAGCATTTGAGTTTGTTAGCAAATATTTTGGTGAATTTTAACATTATTCCATGATTTTTATAGCGTATCAACTTAGAAAGAAACATGTATTTCAGACTTCATAAAAGACATAAAACTTTTTCCGCTTTCTTATTACCTCAAAATAGGCTAAGGAACACATTCTTAAAAATTGCAATCGAAAATGTGCAAAAAGGTCAAAAATAGGCTTAGTCCCAGTTCACCTTGCTGCTGGGAGTAAAATGGAGTTTCAAGTCCATTTAAAATGGAGGTGAATCCCATTTTGCCCCATTCTAAATGGACTTTTCGCATGATTCTTTCGCAAGCGAGAGCTTAGGTAAGGCCGAATCATTCTCATCACACCGCTTTGCCTCGTAGTTGCGATGAAAATGAATTCTGGGATAACGCTAGCAAAAGCAGATTCCGACCAGTTTCTACCGCGAACGAATAAAATGGGGCTTGAAAGTCCATTTTCCTCCATTATGGACTTTCGTGGATATCATTCCAGGTTTCAGTTCCCTTCAACTCGAAAAAGCTGTCTTGTGGTGAGGCAAATTTTCCATCACCACGGGCAAACTTTTACTGGGATGTAAATCAACTGTCAACGACCTAGCATGTATGTGAGTACTATGCATATTTCAAGTCTCCTAGAAACAAATGTGTGGTTCTTTTTTTCGGTCCTTAGATTTTCTCATTGTATAAGGAGACAGTCATCCTGAGCGGCGATGACTTGGCTAGCTTTGTCTATGCTTTTCATTCAGGTAAATCTTCATTCGTTAGATATTTGACCAAAAACTAATGGAATATTTATCGAAACTGCTTTCTTTCAGGCAGTATGGGTTTCCTCGTGCGTTTTTGACAAAGTGGAGAAGTTCCTAGGTGGGAAGGAAAGTCTCGAGACAAAATATGTAAACGAGAGCAGATGCTTTGCTGATTGCTATGAGAACAAATATTGCGTCACAATTGCATACGGAAAAGTAAGTCATTTGCGCATGGTTAGAATTGAGAGACAAGATAAAGGATGGAACAGCAGTCCTCCACAGTCAAGAGTGAAAAAGAAGTGGTTTTAAAAATACGAGAAATATCAATAACCATTTCATTGAACCTAATATCATCAACGACTGCAATCGGTGCTATCATTACAATGCTTTTGCTGTGCTATCACTACAATGCTCTTGCTAAGTAGCAAATTTTCCAAAAAATTTTGAAGGAGATGACAAGTACCTGTAATCGCTTAATTCCTACGAAAACAGCAAGCGCCAAAAGCTTGGAACAACTCTGATTTAATAGCAGACAAGAGCAATTGTAGAGTTTCTCAGTCCTGCATTGCTTCTCGCTTTAGTTGAGCAGAATTCTCAATAAATCATCTTGAATTCAGCGATTAGCACAATCGAGCTTTTATCATGAGAAAAAAAATCAGCAAATTTTCTCCTCTCACGCCCTTTTGGTTACTTCCAGAAAACCGCAGCTGATGCGCTATACTGTAGAGTTTTCTGACGGGAACTATACGGCAAGCAAAGATATAGGCAACCTTCGTCTGAAGCATAAAAACTTTAAATTACAGCATTTGTGATTCTAACAAATTCGAAAAAGCTCTATATTGTCCCTTATGAATCCGCTGTGAATTGCCAGTTGGTTTAATAAAGTCGCATTCTGGGTAACATCTTTGTGTGTGCTGCAGGCTTCATTAAACTTGTGAAGATCCGAAAAGGCACAGATCCTTGCAAAATGATAGACAACAAGATCTTTTTGTGTTACAATTAGCGTGTTCAAACCTTTGTTTCAAATGCAAGTTGTCTCATAATAGCAGCAGGTCTGCGAGTGACGCGGTACATACGATACCGTCTAAAAACGTGCAAAATTTCCGTGGATGTCGCGGAATTACGCGAGACTCTGTGACAATCCGGAATTTTCGCGACTTCCGCGAACTTTGCGGATCCACGCACACGCAAATTACGCAGCGCCATAGCTTTCTTCTGAATGAATATAATTCAAACGATGAAAACAATGTGGCTCAGCTCTTTAAGACGAATCTTTTGGTGTACCGTATGTCCTCGACGTTCAGTTTCCGGTTTTCTCAAACGACGCAGCTCACAACATACATGAAGATTACAGTAAGCACTGCTTGATAATGTTGATTAGCCAATCGAGACTAGAAAGCAGTCGGGGACTTTTTCTTTCCAAAGTGATAGAATAGATGGTGATGGAACGTGTTGTCTCAAGTTCTACTAGTCGTATCTGAATTATGAAACCATCTAGCTAAGCCGAATTAATTTTCGTCTGCAGGCCAAATAACCTCTATGGGCAAATTTTTCGGGTTATATGGTTTTTTTTCTCGTTTTGCGATGTTGGAGCTCGCCGACGGTTTTGGCTAAAACACTGATGATCTTGACTGGAAGAAACTTCGCTCATAGAGTTTTTCGGACATGCTGTTTACGAAATGGTCTTGTATAGGGTCTAGATTCTCTAGCAGAGATATGGTGAGAAAGCTGTAGCTAAGTCACGAAAGTTGAAAAGAGATCGACACTTCTTCAAAAGTTGGTCGTGAGAGGTTGTATAGAGTGTAGGGCGTTAGGCAGCAAACTCAATTTCTTTGACCCCAAAAAACTAGTTGTGCAAATCGTCTTCGGCGGCAGAAACATGGGGTGGATTCCGGGGCCGATATATAACTCGACGCCATAGAAAATGCGCATAGTCGTCAGTTACGGGCTTTACGCTGCTTGTGTTTGCCAGTTCTATGCCTAACGCTTGCCCTTCGTTTGTATATCAGGCTGTCCGCAAATGTTATGTTCACTTTGCCCAAGGGTTACTGTATTGGATATGGTGTTAGATGCTGAGCTTTAACCACGAAGCTGCTTTAATATTTACCTAAGGCATACTTCCTGCGATTCCGTCAAATCACTAGATTAATGAGATATGGCAATTTGCCAGATGTCTACAAATTTACCGTGCGCACCGATTTTTTGAGGTGCAAGAAATTGAATTTGTCGCCTAACGCCCTACACCCTATACAAGAGAATTTATGATCTTTGAGTTTCGAGCAATATTTATGAGGACGTGATTTCGTAAGCTTGCAACCCGGCGACTGTTATAGATTTGAGCCTGAGATATGCATCCTCTAATAGGCGACGTGCAAACGAATTTACGTATTTACTTTCGTGGCTTAGCTACAGCTCCCTCACCATATCTCTGCTAGAAGACACTGGACCCTGTATAATACCACGATTTTCGTAAACAGCATGTCTAAAAAATCTATGAGCGAAGTTTCCTTTTATTCCAAGATCATCAATATTTTAGCCAAATCATCGGCGAGCTTCAACATCACAAAACGAGAAAAAATATAACCCGAACTTCATGGAAAACTTGCCCATAGAAGTTATTTGGCCTGCTGACGAAAATTACATCTGCTTAGCTACCAAAAGACTCGTCTTGAAGAGCTGAGCGCAGACCACTGTTTTTTTCGTAGCTGGATTATATTCATTCCAAAGGAAGTTATGGCGTTGCTAATCTGCGTGGCGGAATGTCCTGAAAATCCCGACATGTCGCAGACTTTCGCGGAAGTCCGCGATATTCAAGGAAATTTTGCACGTTCTGTGAGCGGTATTGTATGTTTCGGGTCAAACTCGTAAAGCTACAACTTTTATGAGGCATTTTGCATCGAAAACAAATGATGCTTAGAATATAATTCGTTACATAAATAGAAATAGTGAGCTTGTTAACTCTCCTATATCTACGTATTTATTCATATGTCGCTTTCCTTTGGAGCTAGTGTTAAAATCCGCATTAGGTAGACAATTTACTAAATATGTAGTTCATATCGCTGTAATACAGAGCAAAGGACTGTGCGTTCTCTATGACGGTGGAAGCTATTCAAAAGCCTGTGCGAAGGGCAGTATTTGCTACACCCTTTCACGCAACGAGGTGGATCCCATGTGCCAAAGATACGTTGATTTTTGAATGGAAAGATCAAGAATCATGTCATTTACCGTCTCCAATACAGCATGTACACGATTGTTGGTATAAAACTCTGCATGTGTGTTGATTTGCACAGTTCAAGACATTCCAAGAATTGAAGGCCAAACAGTAACGCACGATAAAAGACTACGATAATATGCAGCAACCACTATTTTGATCTAGAGTCACGTAGAACTAATAGCAAATGTGTAAGGCAAGGCAAGTCATTTGTAACTCAATCTTTTTCGTAAAGGAAGCTACCTAACTTACGAGGGAACAGTCAGACCCTAACCCAGCTTTTTTAAACAAGCCGTACATCGTCCTTGAAGCGCTGATTTTATGTGTATGTTTATTATCTGCCAAGCGACTATCTGGGGGGAGTTATGAGCGTTTAAATGTGCGATTTGTGAAGAGTGTGGCGCATGTTCCACGAAATACGTTTCAAAAACACTTGTTTAGGTTTTGGTGAACGTGCTTTTTCCTTGCGATCAAAATAACCATAGTCGCTGTAAGTTCGCGCCATCAGGCTGCCCTTCAGGGAAACATATTCGTCGAAACTCGAAAAATTTCATATTTGATCGTTCGTAACTCCTCCCAGATAGTGGCAAATAAAAAACGTTTATTTGAACAGTTTTTTCAAGGCGAGTCTCATGATATACAGCTTGTTTGGAATGGCTGGGTTAAGTTCTGGCCATTTCCTGCTTAGCTCAGCTATTTGGCAAGGGACATAAGTATTCTGACTCAGCTTGAAACGCTGATACCAATTATGATATTATTATTTGCGGCGCACCATTCCGAAACGAGTTATGGGCTTTTTACTGCGAGGAATTGGCTTACTACTAAATATGGGAAGACTGCCTGTAAGAACATCAAATCCAATCTTTTCCTTCTGGAGGGAGGCTTAACGCAAATTAGCACTTAGATAATTTTCCCTTAATGCCAGTAAGTTGATGAGTATGCAAATTTTGCGCAGAAAAGGTCAACTCGTTTAAAATTGATGCGCCGCAGCTAGAAACAGCATATGTGGAATCGACGTTTGAGCTGATTCGGAATATGGAAGTCCCTTTCCATAAGGCCCTTTCCATAAGGTCAGCTAAGTTAGGTAGCTTCCCTTGTCAGTACAACCCAAAAGTAAAATATGTCGCTGAGTGTTCTTCGACCTGCAAGCCATAGTATGGGGTTGAAATCAGAATTCGTTGAAACTTAGCACAATACACTTTTTTCGACATGCTACTTACAATTATCATATCCCCTACTCACCATACATTTTAAGGTGGGGTTACGATGTGTATATTTTATGGGGGGAAAAATCACAAATCTCGGTGTAAACTTCAAGGAGGGGTAGATGAAATACAGATCACGATACAGGTTTCGATTCCGCACGGTAAGTCCATCTTCTGGGATGAAGGCAGGTATAATGTAGGTGGGTGTGATCCATATCACCCCAAAACATCATCTAGGGTATTTTGGACATAGTGATCGTAATAGTGGTACTGATAGCGCCCGACTTTTCCTGTGTTGCATTGAAAATATGATATAGCACCTAAGTTAAACTGATGGTTAAGTCAGCTCTTAACGTAATCATCATCATAGTCGTGATGAGCTTGTTTGAGAATCTTTCAAGACAAGTTTTGAGCGATTCGGGATTCCGACCCTCCCATTAAACGGTCCTACAGCGCAGAATCAACGTCGTTTTCATTTGGTTCACTAACCATGCTATGTTGATATATGTCAGGTCTAAGGGTTCATGACGCCCTTACCTGATGTGTAGCGGGTTTATATAGGTCTTTACTCTAATATTTATCACACATAGCTATATACAGAAAGGGAAAGGGAAAGGGGGAAGAGGGCACCGGCTCCTGCCGGCGGGCGGAGGTCACTGCCTGAGGTTGGCTGTCTTCGGCCAACCTCCTTCTCGAGCAGCTGTTGTAGCTAGCTGCGTTCCGACATCTCCATTCCTTCAGGAAGCTCGTCCTCGAGCTTGATAGATTGAGGTTTCGAATTGTTGTAGTTAGGATTGGCGTGGTTGATGTTCTTCCGGGTAACGTGCTATGAACGTAATATACGGCGAGAACGTACAGTTGACGTGATGATATATTAAAATACATACAGATGTGAGGATATGGATCCGGTGGACTGCGAGCAGACACGACCTTCACCTAGAATATCCTATGGCGTTGAGTAAGATCGTCCTCGAGCTTGAAGGTAGCTGAGGAGAGGGGGAGGAACTGCGGAGAGATGCAGGTGATGTGAATGGGGTTCCCGACATGATGCTGGGAAGGAGTTGGAGTGAAATTGTAGGGAAGGAAGATGGACCTATTGATTTTGGGGCATGGTAAAAATGGAGTTGATTGAAGGGCAAATGATTTAACATTTGGGGTAGAATTTACAGCATTTAGAAAATTTGTACTATGAAATTACTGAACATACGAAGTAGAAGGTATAAACTGGTTAACAGCAAATTATTCTACGATGATAATAATGGTAAATTAGTGATAAATTCATGATACATATACGCAGAAAAACTTTAACAGTAATTTCTAGGCAATTATAAAACATAATTTAATAGTAATTTTACAAAATTACAAAATTTTGTTCACAGTAACATCTTCTGTGAATAATTGCATGTAAAAACAGACGCGTAACGAGTTCATATGTTGAATTGGGCACTGCACACTTTTTTCCATTCAACATAAGGGCAAAATTTGTTTGTTACATAAAGGTTTTTTGATGTTGAGCTGCCTAATGCGAAAGATTTCTTTGAATTGCCTGTTCAAAGAAAATTTAAGGTACGTAAATACGCGACGGTGCAGCAAAAATAGGGAAACAAACTAACCTTAGAGAATAAATAACTACTCATTGAGTACTCTGCGTTGATACCACTGCTT